AATAGTGTACAGAGTACACAGGTGACAAAAGTAGCGAGTGGTTTTGTCGATGGAGTGTTGAGGTATTCCGTACTATACTCCGTACCGTGGACGGTTTCAACAGGTTACGGGAAACCCCGGGCCCGGGAAAATACCTTTCTCGGTACTCGTCACCCGATGGGGCAACATCCACGGGGTGGACGATACAGACATAGATACAGTACTCCGTAGTACTGGTGTTTGATTATTTAGATTAATTTTCTTCGCCAGCCAAGAAGAAGGCAAATGTGCGTGTGCTGCTCAATAATATCGGGGTAGAGTTTTCCCCTCGCAAATGGAGAGGGGGGAAGGAAAAAAAAAAAAAAAAAGAAAAGAAAAAAGAAAACAAAGACGAAAAGGAAAGAAACAAGAAAAATTAGTGAGAAGTTCCAGGCCAGGTCCAGGCACCAGGGGCAAGAGCCAGTCAGCATTTTGACTTTGGTTCATCCCATTGCATTGCCTGTCTTTCCAGCCTTATCCAGTTTTCCAGATGGCCATCAACTGTAATCAGCAGCAAGAAACAAGAAAGACCTCACCACTCTCATATCCACCACAGCCTTCAGTTCCATGGGCCACACACTACACACACACACTCTCTCTCTCTTCCAATTGCCTCTCTCCACTCGGCAACAACCGCTTTGGGCAAAGATCCTTTTCGATCTTCGGCCGACGTCGACCATCATCTTCAAGTGAACCATGGACCACTACGTGTAAGTTGGTTGTGAATGGTAGACTCGGAGTGCACGCGACACTTCCGCTTACAATACTACAATAATATCACCTGGACGGCCTACCAGGACAACCCCTCCCCCAGGAAATCCACATCCACTCACAATACCTGAACTTGAGAACCCCAGTAAGCCAGCTCATCTGGAAGTGGATATGCATAAGGAGGGGGAGTTCGCCACCACCTATCATTCTCAGTATGCCTCCCTCGTTCGACTGTAGAGTTCTCAGCGGCTTCAGAGACCATGCATTCGGCATGCGCACAAAACAAAAGACCCTTCCCTATTCAAAGGCGTATCTTCAAGCCTATGATTGACGGGGGATTTTCCGACTCTCGATCGATTCATACTTTCGGAGGTACGGATGGTCAAGTCAATGCCTCCAACCTTCGCTCTTGGCACTAACTTCTTGGGGCTATCGCACGAGGCTTATTATCGCTGATCAGCTGTCAATATGTGGCTATCCTGCTGCACAGACTTTGATCGTACCAAACTTTGCTCTCGTTCGAAGTCAGTGGGCACACGAATTCGCGCAATTAGCCTCTCGCGTTTGAGTCAATTTGGACCCGTATATAGTGAGTAGCTTAGGCTACGATGGAAGGACTTCACGGATATTGGCACTACCTTCGATAATAGCTTTGTACAGTACGGTATACGGTGCTTCCCAAGAATCTGCCCGAACTTACACTTTGTCGTCTCTGGTCCCCCAGAGGCTGATCTAGCGTTGGTTTTGACATACAGCATGACGGCGAATTCATCCCTCCCTTCTGAACAAACGCTCGGTCTAGCAGCATCGCTTGATCTAGCCGGGTCTCTGGACTAATTTACACTGCGTAGATAATCTCCTATTTAACGACCTCGCAAGTTTACGAGGAGGATTCTGACGGACTAGATCCTTCGCGAGGCTAAGGCAGAATCTATTGGGCATGGGAAAACAGAGAGAAAAAAAAGAAAGAAAAAAAAAGAAGAAAAAAAAAAAAAAACAAGATGCCTCGTTCAGATGCTCGGCTCAATAGTGCCGTATTTGTTGTCATCCTCCGCGCCTAGTATCTTTGAGCTGTTGAAGGAATTGCACTAAGAAGGCCGGCGCCTGCATAGGGTCAATACACCGGTGATTCTAAGGGGGGAGGAGCATGGGTATCGATGCCTCGTTGTAGCCTTTCAGATGATTGGGAACTCATTAGTGTTCGGTTATCGTAATCCCGATCGAAAGCAGGGAAGGGGAGGGGAGGAAGCACGTGACGTGCATAGCTGGATCCCATTACGACGGACAGCATGGTAAGGTGAAAGGTGAATTTTGTTTATCTATGCTCTGAAGGATTATTGAATCAATATATTGATTTGCTTACAATTTTGCGGTACGAGATCCGGTATATCGGTTCCGTCTCACGTCCTCCTTTTGCATTGGCAAAGAACGCACACCCCTGCAGCCCTATGATGCCCTGGAGGACCGCAGTTTGAACTGTAAGCGCTTGTGCATATCTGATCTTTAGATAAACGCTGCACATTAAGGACACACGCACCTCTTGATTGGCCGACCGCCTGTACTTGTTTATCATCAACGCTAGGCTCGTTGTCGCAACGGCTTGCCCTCAATCGGTACTACTATAGGGGATCAGTCTTATCCGCTACCAGGCCCGATCAGAGCCTCAACATAACCATTAGTAGTTCCCTATGCCTTCCTCTTTTTTAGGACTGGACGGGCTCCATGTCCTGATTACTGGAGCTGCAGGTGGCATTGGTCGACGGGCCGTGCAGGAATTTCTGGGTAAGTAAGAGAAATGTTTTGTCTACTGGACTTGGGTTCAACTATTATCCCCGGTGGCTCGTAACATAAGCTTAGGCTTGTGCATTTGGAGTCTGATTGCCATGCATACATAAGCTGTCTGCAGATATGTAGCGCATGGTAGTTGTCCTGCTATGGAATTGTGCTTACTAGACATATAGACCAAGGATGTAAAGTCACTGCACTAGATCTTAAGCCTCTAGAGCTTACCCAAGCACCAGCCGACGTCTACTCACGACTTCATATTCTCCGATGCGATATTACAGACGAGGAGTCCATTTGCTCGAGCGTGTCGCAGGCCAGCAAGCGCTTCGGGCCGATCAACATTCTGATCGCCAACGCAGGCCTCACTGATGAGGGTAAGGATTACCCTATCTGGGAGCTTCCCTTGGAAGCCTGGGAGAGGACATACCGCGTCAATGTGCGCGGGACCTTTCTCACAATCAAACATTTCCTTCAATCGGCACAGCTGTCGCAGCAGACGCTGGGCAGGGAATTGGACAACCTTGCCATTGTCGTGACAGGCAGTGAGACGTGCAAGTTTGGTCAAGAGGGACACGCCGAGTATGCCTCGGGCAAGGCGGGCTTGCAATATGCACTGGTACAGGGCGTGAAGAATGAAATTGTTCGGCTCAATAGCCAGGCGAGAATCAATGCCGTTGCTCCAGGGTGGGTGGACATGCCCATGATTGAAGGTCGGCTGGATGATCCGAAGGAGGTGTGGGCTGAGGCTCAGGTAACGTGAGCTTAACCACTCCCTTTACAAGGAGCTCAATGAGGTCACTGACTTATGCGATAGTGTGCCATTGAGGAGGATTGCGAAACCCGAGGATGTGGCCCGTACCATGGCTTTTCTGGCCTCTCATCGTGCAGCTGGGCATATCTCAGGACAGTGCTTAAGTGTCGATGGTGGCATGGAGGGGCGTCTGGTTTGGAAGGAAACCGATGAGCCGAAGAAGACGACGGCTGACAGTAAGGAGCTTTCGATCGCCTCGTCCATCCCACCGACCTTGACCAAGCCGAAGCGGAACAAGATTCGAATTGCCGTATCCATCGATTTGGATGCAGTCTCCGGATGGCTAGGAACGGGTTCGTGGCCTCTTACTCCAACACCCCCTAGGTTGTGTTGCATGCTAATCTTTCCTCTTCGCACACTACAGGGCAACATCCAGATAACATTCTAGCCGATTACTCGGCCGGGTTCTTCGCAGCCCGAGTCGGTGTACCTCGACTTGTACGCATGCTCAAGAAGCTCAATCTTGCGGATCGCTGCACGTGGTTCATCCCCGGCCACTCCGCCGAGAGTTTCCCCGACGAGGTCCGCCAGGTGGTCGACTCGGGCTGCGAGATTGGTCTGCATGGCTACGCCCACGAGGGCGCCTACCAGCTCACCGTCGAACAAGAGCGAGACGTCCTAGTCAAATGCATCGAGATCGCCACTAAGCTCACCGGCAAGAAGCCCGTCGGGTATCGGGCTCCCTTGTATCAGCTGCGAGAGTCGACGATGGATCTTCTCGAGGAATTTGGTTTCGAATACGGTTTGTCGTCACCGATAAGATTTCTTTCTCTGCGTATATATCTGAATGCTGACATAGTTGTCAAACACAAACAGATGCCTCCCTGACCGACCACGACTGCCACCCGTTCTTCGCCCCACGTCGTCCTCCCCTCGAGCCCATCAACTTCTCCCGCCCCGCATCGACCTGGATGCACCCGATCCCGCAGACCACCACGGACCGTCGGCCGCTCGTATGTGTCCCCTGCAACTGGTACATGGAGGACATGACTCCGATGCAGTTCCTGCCGCACGCGCCCAATTCGCACGGCTACACGGACGTGCGAGTGATCGAGAACCTGTGGAAGGACCGGTTCCTTTGGATCCGTGAGAACGAGGAGGAGCCCATCTTCCCAGTGCTGATGCATCCGGACACGAGCGGGATGGCGCATATCATTGGGATGTTGGAGCGGTTGCTGCGCTGGCTGCAGGGGTGGGGGAGGAGGTGGAGTTCTGTCAGACGGGGGAGATTGCCCGGTGGTATCGGGATAAAGAAATGGAAGCATCCTTCTGAACGTACACTTGGCAGTGAGTATAGCACCTGGTGAAGCTAGATATTGAAATTCAGGTATGTGCCGTATGTCCAGTATTGTGAGCGAATTTCGGAAATACACACGCAGAAGCACATATTCGTCTTCCAGTCGAAGCCAGGGATTAGTGAATGCCGACTCCCAACAGTATCAACGCTCAAGTAGGGTCGTCAGTGCTACCTCCAGCTTAGTAGGGGGTACCGTACCTGAGTCGTTATATTCCTCACCCCAGAAGGGCAACCCCGAATCTCTTTTCTTTCACGTGATCGCGCGTATCGTCCCGGCGCGTCCCAATCCACGCCTGCATCAGTAACAGCGGCAAAACACCTCTCAACAGAACACCCCAGAGCAATCCCCCCTCTCTGCCCCTCGGATTCAAGGGCGCTATGGTCTTCAAACCTTTCAAATCGCCTTTAATCCGCAAGCCCGTTCCATCTTCTCCTGCGACGACCACCAAACCCGCTCCCGATGCTCCCGCTACAGCTCCTGCCCCCACAGCCGACGCCTCGGAAACCACAGACCCCACGGGGGAGCCACCGACGAAAAAACCGCGCCTCCATCTGGATCACACGGTAACGGGAATCGAGAACCGGGGACTTCTCCCAGGTGTCTCGACAGGATCACAACAGAAGAAGCGAGGAACATTGTTGTGCTTGGCGCGGGAGCGGTCTACATCGTCTATAACTTCGTCCCCGCCGTCTCGGGTGTCGAAGAATGATACATCAGAGGCGAAAAGGGAGGGACAAGAAGGTGCGTGGGTCGGTGCCGGGACGGGTAGTGAAGACGGAAAGGCGACGATGGGGCAGGTCCGAGAGAGGTATTTTACTGTTTTGTGGTGAGTTCTCATTCTCTTTTTACATTGTCTTCATGTCTCTGTCCTGCTTATGGATTGTTATCTTCCTTTAGACGCGGGAGTGATCAAACAGGACTAACTCTTTTTTTCGTTTTCTGTGCGTGTGAACAGGCGCAAACTAACGACCAAGAAAAACAAAACCTGGGATGGCGATGGGATCATCAAGGTCCGAGATGGGTATGCATATATGTTTGATCATGCCTCCGGGAAGGACATGGGGCGCGGGATGGTATCGCAGACCCGGTCGTTGGAGGCGGGCGTGATGTTATCGGTTGCGGGGAAGGAGGTCGAGATTGATTGTGAGGTCTCTAGGGGAGAGTATCTGACTGGAAGGGGTCTGTCAGGTACTGAGGAGGGGAAATCGGTCGTGAAGACTAATGCTGCTGTTACGAATACTCCGGCAACAGCAGCGGTTGGGAAGGCTTCTGTGTCGGTTCGGAGCGCAGGCATCAACACTAAGCGGGAGATGGGCAAGGAGGATGAGTCTTCCAAACTGAGTCCCATCCGGATTGCGAACCCGGCGTCTAGGAAGGGTGGCATTTCTGGAGTGTATAAGAGACCACTGCTGGATTCTACAATGATACCACAGACTTCCGCCTCGACAGAGATGCCAGTTCCCCGGCATGACCCGACGCAGACGGGTGCGTTGGTCATGAAACGCCCGGATTCTGTGCCCAACGGCAAGAGAGTCGTTGATGTGGTCGTCGATCCGATCTTGGCGAAACATCTCCGGCCGCATCAACGCGAGGGAGTTCAGTTCCTTTACGAGTGTGTCATGGGGATGCGTTCGTTCAATGGCGAAGGCGCGATTCTGGCGGACGACATGGGCCTAGGCAAAACGCTGCAGACCATCACCCTCTTGTGGACGCTGCTGAAGCAGAATCCCGTCTATGGGAATTCCCCAGTCGTGAAGAAGGCGCTCATCGTCTGTCCGGTGACGCTGATCAGTAACTGGCGCAAGGAGTTTCGCAAGTGGCTCGGCAATGAACGCATCGGGGTCTTCGTTTTCGACGATAAGCGCAAGCGACTGACAGATTTCACCAAGGGCAAGGCGTACAGTGTCATGATAGTGGGTTACGAGAAATTGAGGACGGTACAGGAGGGACTGGCCAGAGGCAGTGGCGTCGATATCATCATTGCGGATGAAGGACATCGCTTGAAGACCCTCCAGAATAAGAGTGGACAGGCCATTCAGTCCTTGAATGCCACAAAGCGAGTCATCCTATCTGGAACCCCGATCCAGAACGATCTCAAGGAATTCTTCGCCGCCGTTGACCTCGTCAACCCGGGCGTCTTGGGTACTTTCAAAGCCTTCATCAAGGAGTTTGAAATTCCCATTGTCAAGAGCAGACAACCCGAAGCCACTGAGGAGGACATCGAGAAGGGCGAAGCCCGCAATGAGGAGCTTCGCGAGCTCACCTCCAAGTTCATGCTGCGCCGCACGGCCGAAATTCTGGCCAAATACCTCCCGCCTAAGTCCGAGTACGTCCTCTTTTGCAATCCGACGCGCACGCAAGCCAGCATCTACCAGAACGTGCTGGCGTCGCCCATCTTCCAGAGCGTGATCGGCAATTCCGAGAGCGCGCTGCAGCTCATCACCATCCTCAAGAAGCTCTGCAACAGCCCGTCACTCCTCTCGCCTAGGGCTAACGAAGACAAGGAGAGCTCCCCTAATTCGACCATCGCCGCGCTGCTCTCCTCCCTCCCTCCCAATCTCCTCCGACACTTCTCCCCGTCATCGAGCGCCAAGATCCGCGTTCTCGACCAGCTCCTCCACCATCTCCGCACCTCGTCCCGCGCAGAAAAGATCGTCCTTGTCTCGAACTATACCTCAACCCTCAACCTTCTCGCCACCCTCCTATCGTCCCTCTCACTACCCTTCCTCCGCCTCGACGGCTCCACCCCAGCCCAGAAACGTCACTCCCTCGTCGAGGATTTCAACCGTCTTCCCTCGGACCTCTGCTTCGCGTTTCTCCTGTCCGCCAAAGCCGGTGGCACGGGGCTGAACCTCATCGGCGCCAGCCGCCTGGTGCTCTTCGACGTCGACTGGAACCCGGCCACCGACATCCAAGCAATGGCGCGCATCCACCGTGACGGACAGAAGCGGCCGTGTCGGATCTACCGTATCTTGTTGAAGGGGAGTCTCGAGGAAAAGATCTGGCAACGGCAGGTGACGAAGTTGGGTCTGGCGGACAGCGTGATGACGACGACGGCGTCGAATAGTGCCGGTGCTGCCTCATCGTCATCAATGGCACAGTTTTCGCGTGACGAGCTCCGGGATTTATTCCGACTAGATGAGGAGAGTCGATGTCAGACGCATATGTTGTTAGGATGTGAATGCGGAGGTACTGGTCAACAGCAACAAGAACAAGCGTCTCCTGAGGCGGCGGATAATGATGAGGTGGGAGTAGAAGTGGAGGAGGGGGATACCGTCCCGCCGTCTGACGAGGAAGCAGAAGAAGACGCAGATGCAGAGGAATTCCCCGACATTCCTACCCTCATCAAGGCCTCGCAGCTCGACATGGAGAAACAGGAGCAGATAATTAGTACCTCAAACACGCGCAGGACTTCCTCCCGCCGGTCTTTCCGCCGTCAAGCCCCGTCCAACACGTCCCCACCACGTCCTCCCCCTTCTGAAAGAAAACCTACCTCCCAGAAACAGAGGATGAAGCAGTCCCTCGCGCAGTACCGCCACATCGACCCCTACCACCTCACCGCCCCGGCCGACGACGACGAGGCGAAATCCCTGGACGTCGTGGCGATGGAATCTGTCATTGACGATGATGTCCTTGTTGCAATGTTGCGTGATGAGGGGAATCGAGTGGGGTATATCTTTAAGAAGTCGAGCAGTAGCTCGGGGATCTAAAAGATAGGATATAGATCGCGTATACGGTCCTAAGCAGAGGGGCCCGTCTCGATCTAATCATCGATGGGAGCCCACGTTTCTGCCGTCTCTTTTTGGGGGCGGGATTTCGGATGTTATGATTATCGATATGATGCTATGAAAATGGTACGGGGGATTTTGGGACGGGTACTGGGTGTATGTACTGTATGCATGCAGAGAACTGTCTTATATTCTAGAAGCTATAGATATCTCGATATCGTCTTTTCATTTCTTTACCCCTGCTGTTAATTTTATGATCCTATGCATCTTTGGTCATGTGCGCAAGTGCAGGAGTAAGCGAGGGGAGAAATGCCGGTGCAGATCAACTTCAATGAGCCTCGAGATTTACTGCTTCCAAGTCTAACAATTCTAGGATGATGCATCTCTTGGATTTGAGTACAGAGATCATTTTATAGTCATTGAGGTGTTCATAGTGAATACTAGAAGCTATTTACGGACAGCTTCCGAAAAACGGAGGGCATAAGCAAATGGGTATGAGAATGGGGTATGCGCAGAAATTTGCAAAGCAGCGACACAAAGAAAGATGAGTCAGAACATGCAGCAATATAGGGGAACACATAACAGAACGCTGGAATTCAAGGCATGTTGTTCGTAAAGTGAGGGAGAGAGCTAGATGGATAAATAGATAGATGGATGGATGGATGGAAAGATAGAAAGGCAGAAAGATATCTGGCTTGAGGTAGTGCAATATGATGAGGAAAAGAAAAGAAGGAAAGAGGGGTAGGAGGTCTCGGACAGCGATGAATAAGTTCCATCTAATACTTAGACTTTCCAACAAGTCCAAATGTGTACGCGGCTTCCGCTTCGCTCTTCATCTGGATCATGTAGATCCGCGAAAATCCCACCATGACGCCGCCCTTTTTGGGCATGGCGCCGCCCTCGGTCTCTTCCCAGACGGAGACAGCAATGCCGGTCCGGGCGACCCGCTCGAAGCAGCTCTCGCCCAGACAAACGTCCAAGAGCACCTCGCCGCGGGTCTTGCCCCGGATGAGGATGCGCTTCTCGGGTTCCGTCGCTCGACGGGGAGATGCGGCCCCGGAGCCGGGGGGACTACCGTCCGTGCCTTCCGAGAAAGTGTTCGAATCACTTCTGCCGATATCGCGAGGCTCCGGAGGCGCAGGCATGATGGTCAGTCTGGCAGCACCCATATCGCGCCATTTGGACTGTGTCTCACGCATGTAGAGCCGGATCTTGGCGTTAGACAGCCCGATCCCGTCCACGCCCTTGATGGCGGCGGCGATGCGGCCGATGCCCGATGAAGGGGATGCATTAGAGCCGAGCGAGTCAGAGTAGATACTGTCTTCTTTCTGGCCATTGCGAGATGTCAGAGATGAACGGGAGATGTTAAACATTTTGCTTCCAGCGCCAAAGCGCTTGAGGGCCGAAAAAGCACTGCTCACGGTTCCCACGCTGCTGTCGGAATTGTCGGCCTGCGATCGTGGGGAGGTGGTTGCACGATAACTTCTCCTGCGTCGAGGCCAACCGAAAAGTCCGCCTGTCCGACTGGGGGACTCTTCTGGAAGAGGTTGGTCGGCATACGGACCTCTAGCATTCTGCAAGGCAATGTAGGTGGGGTTGTTGATGCGCGCGTGGTTGATTAGGCCGTACAGAACTTCGCATTCATCTGCATTCCGTGAGCGGAACATGATGTTGTTACTCCAGTTTATCTTGGATCGTTTGGTGGGTGGAGAGCGGATGCTAATGTCAATGGCTGTACCACGTCGGATAGGAACAAGGGGGGTAAGCTCAAGCGCAATAAGCGGGCGGAGCTTTTTTAATGTGGCCTCATCTTCAATGCCCATGGGAGCGTCGCTCATATTGTACGCCTCGATGAGACCTGGGCTAACGATGACCTTGCACTCATCGGGGAATATACTTTCCCAGGAGCCCTTGTCGGACCAGGCGAAGACGGCAGCGATAGCAGCAGATGATTTGGCGGGCTGCGACGGAACAGACCTATACCCGCCCTCAGATGCTGCATTTGTCAATGACAGGGAACTGCTGGTAGAGGTCATGACGGAGTCCTGCACATGGGACTTGGAAAGATGGCGGGCTGGCAAAGACGCAAGTTCATCTTCTGTGTCGTCGTCGGAGCTGTCCATTGCCGAGTATTCTGACCCCGACTGCATGTCATAGCGCCGCACAGTTGACGTGTCAGAATCCGAGTAAGAATCTGAAGCAGTGGACGGCTCATATTCATGTTTCAAGGGCGATGATCCGCGGCGCTTGAGGCGTACATTGCTTGGGCTTAGCACTGGCACGTCGGAGAGACTTGAACCAGTCGAACTTGGTGAGCGAGAGTGCGGTGGCGGTGCCGGAGGCTCCTCCTGGTCCGAGTCTGAATTCGCTCGAGAGTCACTCTTGTTTCTTGTCGGGGATTCAGCAAGATAGAGAGACTCAATCGCGGAGTATTCGTCATCTGACGTAGATGCTAAGGATTCGGAGATGTATGTCTGACTACTGCCTCTTCTGAGCTTGGGGATCACAGGCAGGTCCATTGATGGTACGGAGGACAGCCTTCTATCCGGCATGGGCGGCCTTTGAGGGCGATCTTGTTCTTTGGGCTTCTTCTCTTCAAAGCGTTTTGGTTCTTCGAGTTCTTGGGCCTTGCCCTTGTCCTGAGCTGGTTCTATGGGAGTAGTTGGACTACTTTCACCGTAACGCGAGATTCTCTTAGCCTTCGAGCGTTTCAGTCCGTGGGGTTTGTCATCGCCGGTGAAACTCTTCCGCGGCTCCCTAGCATGAAGGATAGGCTGAGGCCGAGGCGAATCTCCCATAGCATAATCTGAGTCACGCGTGATTGCGGTATGCAAGGATGTATACGAGTCGTTCGCCCAAGAAGACCCAACGGTACTCGGGTCAGAGAACTGATCTCTTGGGGTCAGAGATCGACGCTTGGCCCGGATGTCGGCCTTTTCTCCGATCGGTATATTGATATTCGTAGGACTTGGAGGAGCCCTCTGTGCCTGGGAAGCTTCAGTGGAGGATGAGATAGTTTGTGCTCGTTTCCGCTGCTTGGCTCGGTCAATAAAGCTCTGGGTACGACAGATGGCTGGTGGAACAGGGACTAGACCCAGCATCTGCACCCATTCATTCCCGATTTCCTCCTCATCAATCTGGAGAATGAGGAGCTCCTGCCATGGTTTCTCTTGCCCTGGAGCACTTCGCAACATGACGACAATCTCACCCTTTGTATCACCGTTCCGAGCAGAGACGCAGCCCAGCGCTATGGGCGGAAACAGTAGCCAGCGATCCGTATGATCAATCTCGCAAATTAGCAAATCACCTTCTCCTCTGTTTTGTGCGGTTGCGTCTCTCAGGAGAAATTCTGCACGGCAGTCGATCACTTGTCCACTGGAATGGTAAAGGGATAGGTTGAAGAAATCACGGGCACGAACCCGTCGAGACCTGTCCACAGTGACCTCACTCAAAGTACCCAATGTTGCAGGATCGCGCGCGCGAGTTGCATCAATGCTGGCAGCCGATTCGTCTTCAAGCCTTGCTCTTTCCTCCCTCGCACGACGACGAGCTTCTGTCACCAGGGTCTGATAACCCGATGCAATTTCCTCTGCTTTGGGGGATGGTTGCAGCGTCTTAATCCCCTTGAATGTCTTTGCAAGGTATTTGAGGCGAACAAGTGGTCGTTTCAAGAGATAGGCAACATCAACTTTTTCGCCGTCACTGTCCACAACATCTCCGTTTTCGTCTCTTGCCATGCCTTCGTCCAGGCTCCGAGTGTCAGCGTTTTCGCCACCTTCTCCTTCCTCCAGGGGCGCAAGATTCACTATAACGTCCTTGAATCCTAGTCTCCAAGCCTTGAGATACTCGCGATAGACCCTTTGCGCCCCTTGTGCCCAGTTGAGTAGTGCGTCGACATTTTCTTCGGGAATCCGCTTGTGCAATGTCTTCAGACGCTCGATGGCGACTCCCATATCCACAATGGGCTTGCTGAAATTGACCTCGTCTTTAGGGTCCGTTGAAGGGCGGAAGAGACCAGCTGCAATAGCAGAATCAGACCGTGAAAGCACGCAAGTCAGGAGGACAGGAATCACACCGCCGACTAAAGTCTTCAGCTCACGCATGTACTTCGCTTCGTCGGCAGACAACTCCTTGAGTATGTCTGGAATAGTCTCTGATACCACGCGATTCTTCGTCTTCAAGCTCCTCGCAGACCGGAGGCTCCGGCTCCTGCTATTGGGGGCGGATAAAACTGAGATTAGATCATCATGGGTAGTGAGTCGTCTTTTGAGCTGCGACGAAACTACAGGGAGTGAGTTTGGATCGAATGAGTCCCGTTCCTCATCGTCTTCCTTTGCCTTGGCTGATGAATCATGTGCTTCTGCAGCCAATGACGCTGTTGGATTGCCACCTCTGCTCATTGACTCCACAGATGCGATGGTAGACAGAGGACGTGCTCCGGTGGCAGGGAATGGTTTGGTTTGCCCAAGAGGTACAGGCGCATTATTACCAGACACTTCCGAGCCCTCAGAGAGCGGCTGAGTTCCGGCCTCAGACACATCATCCCTCATATCACGAGGGCGGTCTCTGATGGGAAGCTCTTTGCCTCTGGATGACTGTCGACTGCCTGTGCTTTCACCTTGTTTCTTCTTTGAAGAGTAACTACCTTCTCTTCGTGATCCCGAGCTCACGACAGTTTCCTGCTTCGGCTTGACCCGGTCGCTTGCCGGGGAACCCCCGTCTCTCTTGCTTCGCCGTGAAGCCGCATCTTTGCGGGGCGTGTCGCTATCCATGGAATGCTCCACATCGCTAGTGTGCGATTGTTCGTATTTTGCGGTCGATTTGTTGTTACCAGATCTCATTTTTAAAGGCGCTGGAATCTCCACGTCCGAGTCCATTCCTTCCTTAAAAGGGTCTGGGGTATTGGACAGCCAGGCTTGGATTTTCGCGCCCCGGACTGGTACTGGTTTGGGTGGCTCAGGTTTGGAGAATATCTCTTTCGATGCATCGATCATATGCCCGAGTATTCCCCCTTTGGGTGGTTTTACAGCTGTACGGCCTTTGAGGGCATCGAGCCCAGGGCCTTTGGGGGGAGGACCCTTCGACGTTGGATTAGGACCTCGTGCGCGGCGTCTTGACAATTCAGAGAAGTCCGCCTCGCTCGTCGCCCATTCTGAGTCGTCATCTAACGGCGCATCCTTGTACTTCGAACTTTGAGGCTGCTCTGACTTCGCACGAGTATGGCCTTTCGCCGTTGATGGTCGCGATGTCGATTTCGAGGATCCATTGTACGACGCAATTTCTTCCTCCGCCCGATTTTCTGGTATTGTGTCCACATCCCGCGATGCGCGGGACTTTCTCCGCTCCCTCGTCGCAAGATCCGTGGAGCGGTCGCGTTCGCGACTTCGCGGAGGAGACGGCACCCCATCTTCCTCACCCCCGGCTTTATGCTGTGGCCTTAGTGCATCATTTGTTGTGTACTGGGAGATGCGCTTGGGGGCTGGGAGTTTCGAAGTCTTGGCCTGCGTGGGCTTCCGATTTAGCTTCCAGTGCTCGTCACTGATGACTCGCTTTCGCGGAGTGCTTTGACTTCGCATCCTAGATACTACTGAACCATTGGAGTTGCCGAGGGGAGTATCAAGGGCCGGTTTGGATTTGGATTCGGCGGCGGAGTTAGTCTCCTCCTCATCGTCATAGTAGACACCGTCGTTGGCAGTAATAACCCCGCCACCTTGCTGCTGCCATTTGCGCACCTTTTCTCGCACAGAGTTTGTGTCGTAAATTCCCAAGGGCCGACCGATATCGAGGGGCTTTGTCTTCGTGGGGGACAATTTGGCGGCTCCCCCGCGATTGGAGGGGCGCTGCAGGTTAACAGGAGATGGCATGGAAGTCTACAAGCGCGGTCAAACGTCAGCATATCATGTGGTAGCCTCCCCATTGGAGTTGTGTACGGTGGTTGGTATCATTGAGTAGAAGGTGTGAAAACGTGGGCCACGGCAACCCGCCGACGTCACTTTAGTGTTTTGTTTATGAGGGGAAGGGGAAAGCTCACAAAGTGAAGATCAGCACAACAGCTAGCTCATGCATACCCTGGCGGACAACAACAGGGACTTGCAGGGAATAAATGAATCGAGAGATTATGGGAGGGATCGTCGAAAGAAATTCGAATCGAAAGCAATAGAAGCGAATATTCCACCAGGGAAGACGAAAAAGCAGGCGAGCGCGAAAACAGGCGGTCAAAAGCAGATCGGGTCTCTGTTGCGGTCCTTCACCGGCCGGACAATAACCACGACGATACCAGCAATGAATGCAATAAACTGGCTAATTTGAGTTTTTGGAGATATGTCAGGATGGCCATCAGTCATTTGCCCGCTATGACTGCTCAATGAAAGATGACACCCATTCGGTGAAGGGCGACTTAACAAAGTGAGAGGAGGAGAATGAGAGGGGAGTTAGGGAAAGCGGAGGGGAAAGAATTAGCCACTGGTGGAGTGAGTGTACTGTAAGTAGGTAAGTACGGAGCCTGTAGGTTGGTTGCCCTGTCTGTCCGGTCTGTGTAGTTAGTCTGTGTATACTCCGGGACTATCTTTTTGGCAACCGCTGGGAAACCGCAGGCTGCCCGGGAAACCGAAGCGCAAAACGAATAGCCAACCAACCAACTCAGATCATCCAGATCATTCAGATGACTTAACTTACCTACCTATACTTTCATCAGATCACACTGGCGCCCAATCCGAGCCAATCAGTCGCTGGAGCCAACGAACAAGAAGGCAATGCATGAATATAACCAGAGTTCTCGTCAGGCTGGATAAACGTGTGTTGTGCTGAAAGCTAGCTACTAGGTACCTAGTAGTAGGTACCCTACTAGTGCTTTTTGCGACCGGTGGTTCATTCGCCATCCATCAGGTACACACGCACGAGGACGGGACTGATCACCCTTTAATACCACGGACGGAATGATCAGTGAGGGTCTGGGTCTGGCTTACTCTCCTGCTGCAAGGTTGCGGTCATGGCTTGCTGCTGGCTGATGATATCTACAGTGGTTTTGTCCCACGCCTTGCCCCAGTCTTACCTTCTTCCCTCCCTCTTACCCCCCCCCCCTCCTCCCAATCTCAGCGTCATGCACGGACGCCACGAAGTATATCCTACGAGCTTTCTCCCTTATAAAAGAGTGCTCCTGACCGAACACATGAGGCAGTCTACTTACAGAAGTGCTATCGCATCCATTTTCATCACTTTCTATAGCCAGGATGGAAGGCCAAGCTCCTCTCCACACCCCCAACTAGGCAATAGGCTATATCTTTCTTGACCGCGAACAAGCAAGAATCAGGATGCCTGGGACGCTCCACTATGGGGTCTACGCGTCAGAGTGGGCCAAGAGGGATAAAATCACTGCATTCTGATTTATTGATCGCTATTATTCTCTGCGTTGTCATGCAATTTGTGCTAATTTGTTTTCCCGGTCCTAACTGTGCTGTCAACCGTCACAACGACGTGGGCAAGATCGAGAGAGATCCGAGAGATCCCCTCAATCCGAGCAATGATGGCATGTCTGATTCCCGGCCGGAATGTTGATCCCACGCGGGAAAGGGCCTCGCCAATTTAATTCCTGATGCGCTTCGTTCTGCCCAGCCTAGAACCACCCGGGCAGCAATCGGGGCTAGCGAGGCTCGCGGTGTTTATTTTCCCCTCGTCGCAAAACTGCCCGAATCTTGATGACATCATCAGTCCCCCTAGAATCATCGCTCTTTGTGTCGCTGCGAACGTTCTTTCAAGGCGTCGAAGGCTGCTGATATCGCTCGTATGCTCTGATAGAGGTAACCTATCCCTTGTCAATGCCTATCTACCAGGCCAAAAGGACCCATCCACAAGGGCAACTTACAGAATGGAACCACGATCCAAATGAAGTTCATGAAAAAGTAATAGACCCAGAAATAGAAGGCTTCCGGGCGACAATAGGCAATCCCATGCACGTAATGATCGAAGAGGCTCGTGGCATAATAGAGACTGTCGCCGTAGAGGTGGCTCATGCAGACAATGATCTGAAAGGGATGGCGCAAAGAGTGTTGAGTCGCGGTCAGATATGCGACTAAAAAGCACAACGGGCCCCAGACCATCTATTATCCCGGTCAGTGAATACACACCCAGCCACCATTCGGCGCACAGGCAGGCTATACTGATCAAGGATTGAGGAAGAGGGACCTACCACGGTGATGGTCTCCATACAAAGAACAAGTGTGTCGGAAGTCATGTACCGCGAGTCCGATAAGGCATATTCTTTCCAGAGCTGCCCAAAGAAGTCTTGAGCGGATGCCATGTGGTCATGATGGACCATGAAGTAACCTTCGAAGAAGCAATGGATACATCCCGCTAGAGGTTTCGTTTACATGTTAGCGCACCGGAAGCTTTGATGATGATTCTACCTTGCAGCTGCTGCTATAAAATCTGAGGCGAGTCTTACAGAGGGCAAACCACAGAATGGCAATTCGGTCTCGGGTTTGTATTTTCGGTCGTTTGAAGCCGGTCAGTGTCCAGGTAGCACCCAGCAAGGCTGTCACGCCTAGGCTGGCAGTGGCCAGGATAGTGAGCAACGGAGCCTCATTGGGCGCGTAGTCCTCGATGAGCGCGTCGATGGGATAGAACGGATGAGTGGGAGTCCGACGTTCCATCTTGATCAAATTTGCAAATGTGTGCAATAGGTGCAATAGGTTTGAAAACCCTCGAGGAGGTTCTCTAGAATTGTAAGCACTAAAGAACTAAACAAATTCAATTGAATTGAGATGTTGCATTTCGGCGGAAAATATATCTTCGACACTGGGGTCTCCTACTATGCACCGATACACCGCCAACTTAGTACTCATACATGAGTGACTTTCTTTCGTTTTCTTCTTCTTCTTCTTCCCCTCCCTAGCATCGATTTCTACCTGGCGATTTGACACCTGCCCTATTTCTGCACCTTCTACTGAGTATTATTCTTTTTTATTTGATCACTTTTTGGGCCTTGATTGCGAGATCGACCATAATATCTCCTAGTATGGTTAGACTGCCACGGGATTACCCGCTAGCCCACTCTGGTTAGAGCTCTGAACCTCAGGCCACAAATTTCCACTGCAGCTCCGTACAGTACTTGGTAGGTACCCCTACAATAATAATACCCGCTACGGGAGACACTGACTCCGTCTCCTACCAACTGCGACAAGCTGGCTACCTGCTCTTGTTCCTTTTGCCCCTCAATCGGCCATCTACCTCGGTCGCCCTCCTGGTTAACCATCCCATGGAGACTGTCACTCTCTTTTTTCCTTCTTCTTCTTCTTCCCCCTACCACATACAAGTCCGCAATGGCTCCTGGTCCATTTAGAAGGAAGCCCTTGGGTCTCGATGTGCCCCGCACCGTTGCGGTCGAGTCGCCGCCTGGCATTGCGGCACTCTTCGTCATTCGTTTCGACATCAAGGCTGGGTGAGTACCCGCCAGCTTCTGTGATGCATGCTCACCTTGCAGTGAGCTTCTACTGACAGTCGATTTCTGATGGAGTTACGTGATATCCTGGAAACGAACAACCCCTGGGGGTGAGTGACAGCGACAGCATTTCCGAGGAGCGCCCGAGCTTACTTGATCGACCAGTTGATATCGAAGGGGCCGTGGAATATAAATCACTTCCCTCCGGCTTACACAATGTGTCAGAGGACTTGGTGTAAGTTAGCAATTATATCGATGATGTGTGTCGACCGCTTGCTTACGGACGCTCGCTCCTTCCAGGTACTTCATCCATGAGCAATATGCTGGCATCAGTGCTTTTGTCAATTGGCCTGCGGAGGAGGCAGAGCGTAACGCGAAGATGTTCGCCATTGGAGTGCTTGTGCCCTTGAGCTCAGGAAGGCTGGGCAAGAGCTGGAGACATGCGCCGAAGCTCAAGGAATTGGCACAGTGAGTGATCTTGACCCACTTGCGGGTGTCGCATTGTACCATGTACCTCTGACGTTTGCGATCGCTGTAGGAATTATGCCCAAGACATGTCCAATACCCAGCCACTTGCAGAGTACTGGGAGGAATTTCAGACGCGAGAAAGTGACTTGTCTGCCATGCCTCCCGATTCTCCATTAGAATCTCCGCTCAGCTTCCGCCTGAGGGCCCACGGAGACCGAACTGACAGCATACATCGGGGTCGCGCATTTAGTGATGCGATCATGTTGGAAACGCCCAGGCCGGCCCTGACGCCCTTCCATCCAGCTTCTTCCCTTCCTAATTTTCTCGATTCATTCGGTCCCCTTATATTCCCCCTTTACAGAGCAGCCCTGCTGCGCAAGCGGGTTCTCTTCATGGCAGAGCCGCCAGTCCATGTTCCTTGCAGTTATGGTATGCTCATTCGTTCCTTCACTCGCGCTGCTGCTAAAAGCTGTCCCCAGTATATGATCTGTCTTTGTTGGCCTCGTTGCCTAATTCTCTCCTTCCCCTTCTTCCTCAGAATGGGCTCCCTCCTCCCCGACCGCGTTCTCTGTTCAACGTGGGCATACACGATATCCCCTACCTTTCTTCCTTCGTGGGCGTTTCCCCGAATAACGACCGTGACTCAGCCTGGATCGCTTGCAGCACGGACAGCGTCTTGAGTGTGAAGCCCGAACTCTTCGATGTTCTAGTCACCTTACCGCCCCCGCATTCCAGGAACGCGGCGGAGAAGGTGTTCCCCACCGTATCTATCTTCCACACCCAGCCCGCCAAGAATAAAACACCTCATTCAGTCGTTCTCAAAGCGACTCAGCGGGATGCGCGACGTTATTATACTCTCCGCAAGGGGCTCCGCCACGTTTCCCAGAACGAGGATACCCGAACAGACACTGACGACGATTCCGATGCTGCATCCACCTACTCTTCCAGTCCCATAGTTGAGCCCCTCTCTTGGGCTCGTCTGGCATATACATCCTTCATCTGGTGGGCCTCCGCGGGCGAAAAGCGCGATGGTCTATCCGAAGAAGAGGAAGAAGAGCATCAGATCGAGCAAGACACGCGCCTCCTCGCCAGCGTCGAGATTCTTCCCAGCCCTCCCTCAGGCTCCGTCGGCCGTCGAAGCATCCAGCCCCACGAGTCCGCGCAGCAGCCCCCGGAGATCGCTCTGGTCGCATACTTCCGTCGCCTCACCACACAAATCTTCGTCACCTTGTCCGACGTGATCGCCCGCCACGACAGTCGCAACCTCCCGGACGACGAGGACAATGACGACCTCCTTCCCGACGACGATGAACAACCGTATGAAGACGACGAGCCGGAAAACGACACCGACCCCTCTCTTGCCATTGGCCGCCAATCCACCCAAGAAGACGACTTCCACAGACCACTCCTTGCGCGGCAATCCTCCGGGTGTGCCAGCGGTAGCACCCAGGAGGACACCAAGCCCGTCAAGATTACGTCCGAAGACCTGACCGAAATGGGCCTGGACGTGTGGAGCGCCGCCGACCGGGTCTTTGTCGAGGAGCTCGTCATGCTCTGGTGGGGTCGGAAGGCGTACGTCGATAGCGCCCGGATCAGATGTTGTGGTATCTCCATCGTATAGGTTTGCTTGTACTGTATTTACTGCCGTGATACTCCTAGCCATCGTTTTCCTGCTCCCTGTCCGTTTCTTGTTTCCGTCGGGTAGCTCTGATGAGCGCAAAAGAAGACATAGTATATATTCGTAGTAAACAACTGTGCTAGGGTCATACTTTCTCTCTCGTCAGGGTGTACGCGCGATTAACTAACAAAAGTTCTTTCCGCTTGCGACTGAATCCGAGAAGCATCGAGCGAACAAGTTGTATCTGTCTAACCTGCACGTTCCAAGTACAGCCACCCACATGGGAGAACAGAAAGAGGAGTAACAGCAGATATAACCAAGAGAAGAAATGTTCACACGCAGACAGCATTCCAGACAAAGGAAATGTTACAGACGAAGCTGAGAGAAGAGAGTGTGAGAGCATAGACACCTGGGTTCGTGTGCTGACTTTGGTGGAAAGGCAAAAAAGTTGATTTCATGAGACTAGACAAAACAAATTTCACCGGGAATATTCATCAAGATCTTTTGAGACGTGCCATGATTGCCAAGAACGAACAAAACCACAAAAAGGACATGAAGAGCTCAATCTCCCCAAAAAAACGCCATGCCACTCGGAGTACCGGGGTATCAAGAGAGAGGGTTGAGTCATTAAGCTAGAGTTCTGAGAAAAATGTGTTGGGGAAGAGGTAGACAGGATAAAATGCGTCTGAGCTCGCATGAATGAGATAAGGTAGTAGTTAGTGGTAGGACATGCGGATGGGAGCACTTATATCGCGCCGATCCCGAATGGAGCCATCGCTTCTGGCTTCTGTGTGATGAAGACCAGGGATTCGCCGTGCGGATCGGACGGGAGTGACGCCCATCCCGCCGGAGCGCAGGGCGCTTTCACCAGCACTGATGGAGCGCTTCATCGTGTTGGTCCTGCCTCTACGCGCTCGGATCTGTGCCAGGGCTTCTTCCCGGCTTATGGGAGTTCCTGGGACATCAGCAAAGCGATTGGACGATGACTCGTCGTCGGCTCGTAGGGGAATTTTCCTGAGGTCTTCGTGCACTTGAGAGTTTCTGGCATCGTGCATTACGGGCAACACAGGGTCCCACGGAACATCAACGACTACCGAAGACCGGTGAGTTCCAGGAGTAGAGGTTGGGACAAAGGCCTCGCTTTCCATGATGGAATCATATGGTGTCTCATGCCTGTGGGTAGCATGCTTGGAGACAGGACTCCCTGTCATCGCTGGAGCTTCAGCTTCGCTCTCCACTTCTGCCAATGGTGAATGCAGCGCATTCTCGGGGAGCTGCTTCCGTGGAGATCCTCGGACAGGCGAAGGGATCGTGTGGAAAGTGCCCGTGGCAGGCGAAAAAGCGATAATAGGCTCCTCCGTAGGGTCATCGTCGTCATCTTCAGCATCCTCCACAATCTCTTCCTCGAATTCCTGAGCCTCCTCTAAATCGTCATCTTCGTCGACTGTCTCTCCCACATTCTCTTGTGCAGCGAAACCAGCAGGCTCGCCGACAGCCGTGTGCGAGTCCACCTCGTCATTTTTTGGGACGCCAATGTGATCTCCATACTGCTCAATTCCGTGTTCATGCACCTTCTGGTTGACCGCCTCGACTATTCCCGCTTCATGCACATGGTCGATTTCCTCTGGCTCGGTCAACCGGCAAGAACAGCGCTTGAATTGACACTCGAGTTTGAGGAACTCAATCAAATCTTCGGCATCTGTTCTTAGCTGGCGCTCGCGCTTTAGGATTCGTTCGAGTTCTTCCACCTTATCATGCCTCGCTTCTGACACGGCATATTCCTGGGCTCCTTGTCGGGGAGTGATGTCTGATAGTCTCTGTCGCTTGGGAGGAGTGTGGTGTGCAGGCGACGGTTTTGTGGCATGGACCATGGGTGAGTTGACGGAATCTTCGGCCGATCGTTTGGGTCTCCGAGGCGTAGGGGTTAGCAGTAGGGCGAGATCGCCTTCCGCTAAAGACATTCGTCCGGCGCCCTCTTGGCTAAGCTTGAAGCTATGGGCTTTCAGGCTTCGCGACCTGATATTGGCCTCCGCAACGCGTAGCTGCTCTTTGAGAACCTCCACCTCCTCTGTAAGCCCGGCGATGGCGTAAGCGCGCTCGAATGCCTCCTGTTTTGCCTGCTCTTTGACTCGGCGCTCCGTCTGCACTTCGTCTTTGAGGACTTTGGCCTCCGCCCTGGCATGTTTCAAGTCCTCCTGTACCTTGACAACCACCGAGCCAGCGCGGAAAGCCTCCTTTCTAGCTTTTCGAATCTCCTTTTCAAAAACTGTCCTCTCGTGAGCTTGGCGTTCCTTAGAGGTCTGAAGTTCTTCGAGCAATGATTCCAGGCGTTCACTGATGCGTCGTTCGCGAGACTGGGCTTCTGCAAGTTCTGCGTTGGCATGCGCCAGAGCAGACTCCGCCTCTTCCCGTCCTAAGATGGCGCGCTGCAAGGCTGCCGAGTTGCTAGCAGTCTGTTGCTGATGAGCGTGAGCGGGACTGTTGCCTCGAGAGGCGAGACCGTTGAGATAAGCGACCTTGGATTGAACATCGGAAAGACCCCTAGAGTGTGATCCTCGGAGGTTAAGGATGTTGGAAGTCAGTGAAGAGTTGGGGGTGAACTGTTGATTCATGCGTTCGGGCGATAGGGGGTTCAGGGCCTTCGTCGGGCTCGAAAACGGAGAGTCCATGACGAACAAGCCTGTGTGTTGTGATTGGGAAGGAGGGTAATAGTCAGTAAAGGGAGAACAGCAGTCAGTCTTCGATTCAGAACATGACAGTCATGCCCGAGAGGGAATGGATGACACTACGGGGTCGACGGTCAGACAGACAGACTGGATTTGAAAATGAACCCACTGATCTCCTCCTATCGGTGACGCACCCACTCTTTTCCCGCTTGTTTGTTGCCCGCAGCGTGATCACCTGACCGTTGCCCAGGACGACACATTTTAGCCGAGTTGGGCAAGCGGGGGCTCTAGTCTCAAAAAGGAAGGCTTCATTACCCGGGCGCCCGCGGCGCCGGTCTGTGCTGCGCATTGAAGCTGTGTGATGCGACGAGGTTAAATGCCCCAGTCATTAGATTGGGTAAAGTCTAGGCTCGTTGTCACCTTCAGCCCTGACTTTGACAGTGGAAAGTTTCCAGTGAGCTGACGTATTCGGGGATCGGATCAATTTCCCCATTTACGTGGGGCGACTCGGATTGAATATGCATGAAATTATCACCCTGCAGCTCGGTCAACGAGCAAATTATCTGGCTACGCACTTCTGGAATCTTCAAGTATGCTTCGACTGTGCCTGATCGAACCCTACCTTATCCATGAATCCAAGCTAAAGCGCCGGCTAGGAATCTTACTTTACATACAATGAGGATGAAGAGTCCCCCGTAGATCATGATGTTCACTTTCGACCTGGTGTCGCAGCAGATGGTACAGAGACCTTCACTCCTCGAACTGTTATCTATGATTTGAAAGGGGGATTTGGCACTCTGCGCAAATACAATGCCCTCTACCAGCTGTCAGAGGATGCTAATCCCGGTCAAGGACTGTGGTAAGTGGCCCATCGCTGGAAAATCCGTTTCCAGGTTTTTAACGTTGTGATGGTGCAGGGACGGAAAAGAGGTCCTACAGCAACAGACCCCCATCCTTCAGAGTGATTACCAGAAGAACCTGGATGCAGGGCTCCCCGCTCCCCCGCTATCTTCTGAGACAGTTCGATACTGGTCAGACTATAATCGTCTCTTCTACCACCCGCGATCGATTGTTCAGCTGACTGAGTACGAGCTGAACTCGAAGATCATGCCATTTGAGGACTGGGGTGTAGGGGAGGAACTCTTCAACGATCTCGACAAGGAGCATGATTTGTTAGATCGGGACCTGAGGCCCTTTGCCGAAGAGTGCGACCAAATGCGCGCAATCCAGCTTTTCACAGGCTCAGATGATGCATGGGGTGGCTTCGCTGCCCAGTATGTCGACAGAATTCGGGATGAGTATGGCAAGAAGGCAGTCTGGGTGTGGGCTGTAGAGAATGGCCGCAAGGTTGACCGGGTGAGTCTTATTGCCTCCTGTTGCCTGGCCTGCACCATCCTCGCTAACTCCGGCAGCAAACCCAATACAAGCGTGATCTGAATAAGTCTCGGTCCATCTACGCTATTTCTCCTCAAGCTTCTCTATATACACCTGTCGTCGACCCGCCTAGCCGGCGACCGTCAACGATTCATCTCGACCCTCACTCCGAATGGTACACTTCAGCACTAATCAGTTCCGCTTTGGAAACTGTGACACTTCCCACCCGTCTTCGCCCGTATCACGACTTTGAGGCCTCATTGGCAGGGGACGATGGCGTCCACAAGATATTCGAGCTTCAGTCTACGATTGTGCCAGGTGACGAGGTTGCCGAGCACTCCACGCAAGGTCCTAACACCCACGCCGATCGAGAAGAGAACACAGAAGGCCCAAAGCCCCAGACCGAATTCGAACTGGACTTCACATACAACGGCCTGGGCGGCGACACAGCTCATATCTTTAATCAACTTCAAGTGTCGCGTGGCATAACCACCGAGCGGAAAGGCCAGTTTCCTACAGAGGACCTGGGTACCGTGCGCAGGCAACGACTCTACAACTCCGAGCCCATGTTCCAGAGGTGAGGACAAGGAGCTCATAACCTGTTCACCGCTCAAATACTGATCATACCGATAGATTTCATGCGCCGCTGGCGTTCCCCATCTTGGATAGCTTCCCTCACAACATGTTCACTCTTCCCCAGGCAAAGGAGAAGGTCCAAGTGCTTGCAGCATTGACAGCTTCCTCCCGGACGGCCGAGAAGCTCAAGGTGCTAGAGACGCTCGCCGGGCGAGTCGCACAAGTGGATGAGAGGGAGGCACTAGTCAACGGGTTGGGTGAGATTAGAGAGTCGTATGAGACTGGTTGGATGAGCGACTCCGACTTCGATGACGATTAGACGTATGGAGCAGAAAGTATGAGACATGAAAAACTTATATCCATGTGTACATTGTACTCCGTACTGCATAGTGCATGGCATCCGATCTAGCAGTATGTAGTAATACCGTGGACCCGTAGATAGACCCTGGAATTGGGGTGGATCCGCAGTGCAAACAAAGCGGGCGGTGTGATGTGTTTGCATTATTCGGTCGGCCAAACGTGGCCTCTCCAATCAATTCATCGAACATTCGACTGGCATCTTTCTTTTACTACTCTGTCCTTGTTCACCATATTCTTACTGCCAGGTGGCCAGTATACTAGAGCTTCGTTGTCGTCTAGATGGCTCTGCGGAGATAAAAGGTGTCTTAGGTACCTCTCTTCTCCCCTCTCTTACCATAGGTTGCTTTCGCCTTTCGCTAACCTCATCTGCCGTCATAGTTCACTACCACTAACTTGCTAATTTCATGTTACTGTATTGATAGTTAGACTGTCACTCGCTTGCGGCGATCATATCAACCAGATTACATCTGGGCACAGAGCTAGAGCTCATTAGATGTCAAGCGTTGTATTAAAGCGTCTCTCGGAGGTATGCGACCCTTAGGCGCAATCTGCTGATTGGGACGGCTGCTGACGAGCTTTTTTAGTAAACGCATAGACCATGGCTTCCAGAAGCCGTCAACACATATACGGCTCCCGAAAGTCTCTCACATCCTCTCCCGTCCTATCCTTCGTGATCGTTCCTTTTCTACTGCTCTTTTTGAGCTTCCCTGCCCCCGCTGCTGCAGCGGGATCCGCCGTTCTCGGTCTTGATGTCGGCACAGAATATTTCAAAGCCGCCCTGGTCAAACCAGGAATTCCTCTAGAAATTGTTCTCACCAAGGATTCGAAGCGCAAGGAATCAGCCGCCGTTGCGTTCAAACCTACCCGCGAAAGCGATGCCCTGTTTCCCGAGAGATTCTACGGCGGCGATGCCCTGGCCTTAGCCGCCCGGTATCCCGACGATGTATACGCCAACCTCAAGACCCTGCTCGGACTCCCTTTCGATATCGATGACGAAACGATCAAGACATATCACAACCGGTACCCTGCGTTGCGACTTGAAAAGGCCCCTGGCGATCGTGACACTGTTGGACTTCGGAGCAACCGACTTGGCGAGGCAGAGAAGAAGGACGCTTTTCTCGTCGAGGAGGTTCTTGCCATGCAGTTGAAGCAAATCAAGGCTAATGCCGATACCCTGGCTGGAAAGGGATCCAACATTCAGGATGCGGTGATCACCTACCCCTCCTTCTATACCGCGGCGGAGAAGAGAAGTCTCCGCTTGGCGGCGGAGTTGGCAGGTTTGAATGTCGAAGCGTTCATTAGTGATGGCCTTGCTGTCGCTTTGAACTACGCAACCAGCCGCACTTTCCCCAGTGTGTCGGACGGAGAGAAGCCCGAGTATCACATTGTCTATGACATGGGCGCTGGCTCTACCACGGCCAGTGTCGTTCGCTTCCAAAGCCGCGCGGTCAAGGACATCGGCCGCTTCAACAAGACCGTCCAGGAAGTTCACGTCCTGGGTACCAGCTGGGACAAGACACTTGGCGGAGACTCTCTCAACGACCTGATTGTCGAGGATATGATCGCCGATCTGGTTGAGGAGAAAAAGCTGAAAGGCCGCGTCACCCCGGCTGATATTAAGGCTCACGGCAAGACTATGGCAAGACTCTGGAAGGATTCTGAGAAGGTTCGTCAGGTTCTCAGTGCCAACACTGAGACTGGGGCTTCGTTTGAGAGCCTGTACGAGGAAGAGGTTAACTTCAAGTATCGCCTCACCCGGTCTAGGTTTGAGGAGCTTGCCGCGCATCACATTGCCCGCGTTGGAAAGCCTCTCGAGCAGGCTTTGGAGCTTGCCGGTTTGCAGATGAATGACATCGAATCTGTCATTCTTCACGGTGGTTCAATTCGCACGCCATTTGTGCAGAAGGAGCTTGAGAGTGTCTGTGGATCAGCTAGCAAGATCCGCACCAGCGTCAATGCTGATGAAGCCGCCGTGTTCGGAGCTGCATTCAAGGGGGCAGCTCTCAGTCCAAGCTTCCGTGTCAAGGATATCCGTGCCAACGATGCCGCGGCTTACAGTGTTGTTTTGAAGTGGACTTCCGAATCCAAGGAGAGACAACAGAAGCTTTTCACACCCACCTCTCAAGTTGGATCCGAGAAGCAGGTCACCGTAAAGAACCTGGATGATTTTGATTTCGGCTTTTACCAGCAAGTTCCCCTCGTCGAGAGCGTTGCTGAGACTCCTGTTCTAGGCGTGAAGACGCAGAACCTCACTGCTTCTGTTTCCAAGTTGAAGGAAGACTTTGGCTGCTCGGCTGCCAACATCACCACCAAGTTCGCCATCCGCCTCAGCCCTGTTGACGGGCTTCCCGAAGTTGTGGGTGGATCCGTCAGCTGCGAAGTTGAAGGAGCCAAGAAGGGAAGTGTCGTTGAGGATGTCAAGGGATTTTTCGGTCTAGGCAAGAAGGATGAACAGGCTCCTCTGGGTGAAGAGGGTGAAGCCAACGAGTCCATTACACTGGAACCAGAGGAACAAGCTTCGACCACCTCTTCGGACGCATCCACGTCTACCACGACTGCCAAGGAAACGAAGAAGAGCTCTCTTCAGACCAAGCTCGAGACTATCCCTGTCAGCTTCACCACCACTCCTCTGGGGCTTCCTGCACCGTCTACGGCTGAGCTCGCTCGTATCAGGGCCCGTTTGGCCGCATTCGACGCTTCGGACCGCGAGCGCTTCCTCCGTGAAGAGGCCTTGAATGAGCTGGAGTCCTTTATTTACCGCAGCCGTGATCTCGTGGAGGATGAGGGCTTCGTCAAGATGTTGACTCCTGAGCAGTTGATTACCTTGAAAGAGAAGGCCGCTGCCGCCAGCGACTGGCTGGACGGCGAGGGCGCTGACGCCAAAACTTCAGATTTCAAGGAGAGACTTAAGTCTCTGAAAGACATCGTCAACCCTGCTCTCAAGCGAAAGAAGGAGAGCGCCGATCGCCCAGCCCGTATTGAGCTTTTCCAGGATGTCCTGAAGAACGCCAAGACAGTGATGGACCTAATGGAGAAGCAGATTCAACAAGATGAGGACCTTCACTCGTCGAGCGTTGTCGCTAGTGAACCCACAGAATCGAGCTCGTCGCCATCGGCAAGCGAGGCTCCCGCCCAGCCTGTGGACCTCGATGAGGACCCCTACGATACCTCCTCCAGCAGCAGCACCTCTTCCGCTCCCACCACCACCGCTAAGCCCAGTGGACCGAAGTACTCTATCTTCCAGCCCTATGATCTAGCCAGCTTGTCCAAGACCTATGAATCTACGAACACTTGGTTCGAGACTCAAATGGCCATCCAGGAGAAGCTTACTGTCACGGATGATCCGGCCTTCACCGTTGCCGAGCTTGATACTCGTCTTCGTGAATTGGAGCGCGCCATGAACCGCATCTACGAGAAGATGGGCGCGGCAGCGGCCAAGTCGGGCAAGAGTGAGCAGCCCAAGAAGAGCAGCAACGGCAAAAAGGGCAAGAGCAGTACCAAGAAGGAACAAGAGTCCACGACGGCGACGACGACATCTGCTGAGTCCAAGAAGAGCAATGTCAAGGACGAGTTGTAATCCTCTGTCCGGTGTGGTGCTACATTGTTTGGGAAGTATGGATGGAGAAAATGGTAGGGAGTTAAGGTTGAGCGTTGACTTTTTGTAACTTTTCTTTCCCTAGATTCTTTCCAGCTTTTTACCCCTGTATCATGCATGCTATGCTGGGTAATTGCATGCTTGAGTCATGTATTGTACTTTCATAGTGGCTCAACAAGAGGTTTATCATACTCTACGCAGGTTACCCTATCCAATCTTATAGTTACTGTATTTTTCACCGCTGGTCTCACCGCCTGTGTCTGTCCTTCTGCAGTGCACTCACTCACTCCAGGCTGGATCATCTATCTTCCGCCATTATCCGCCCTGCCCGTATTCGCGCAACCTTGGGGGCCCCCGCAACCTGGAACTCCACCTCATTTCCTACTCAGAATTCCCCCGCATAGTCAAGAAGAGAGAACGAGAAGAAGAGATTCGGGGCTCAGAGTATTATTAACTACGTGAATCTGTGACCCTAAAGCTGTTATAGGCGCAAAGCAGCCGAATTAACCTCGGGACTACAGGCGAGAGGAGCTTCTCTATATATACTTGTCATTCGGAGCACCACCACTGCTTCTATTAGACCAATCCATGACACCCCAGTGTCTCCCCATTAATACACTCCCTTCAGAGACACAATGGCATTCCAACATACAGCCATTCACACCCACCAGATAATCCCGGAAGCCGAGACCGCCCTCCATCATCTACAGGGGGTAATCGAGACTGCCCCGGTGGCCAGAGTTGAAAAAAATAAAAACATTATGTTCGCGAACCACTTCATGGACCAACACGCGGCGCCTTTGTTAACGTACTTAGAGCTAGAGGTTGGTGCTGGGCTCGTATGTGTGTTTCGATGGCGCTGTAGATCTGTTTCCGGGGCTGACCTGTTTGGTTATCACGAAGATCAAGAAGCGGGGTTGATGGGTGCACTACATGTACTACTGTGTGTACATTGGCTTTTGTTGGTGTATGAGGGAGTTCTGGGGTTGGTTGGAGCGCGTTGTTTGTCTTGTATTTCAATCTCAAGTCAGTTCATCTCTTATTGCTTGGGGATTGCAAGTCAATATACGGAGTACACTATCCATACAAGCGATCGGCTCTCCCTCGCATTGATACTCGTAAAGATGAGGTGAAGGGGGGTAAAAATATGTACAGTACAATAAATCCGTCACCCAAAAGTCCATCCCAGATCATAAAAGCATAGCCTAGATCAATCATAGCAAAACCTCTGCTGAACCCTTTCCAGCATATCATCATAGCCCTGAGTATCACTGGATCACTGGAACCAGCCAGTAAACGCCCCTCGACAAGAGAACTGGGTAAAAAAAATGGTAAAAGTACAGACAATGGCAGCGCTGGCTAAAAAATAAACAGAGACAAATCCATACAAAGCACAACATCTTGATTCAACCCTTCTTCTTCCCCCACCCCCCGCCCCCCAAACGTCTCCAGGCAGGTATTGGAAGCCAAATGGCGAAAAATCAAACACCCCCCATCTCCACCTCCTTGCACGCCCCCGGAGACCCATCAAGCTCGTACCCATCCACCTCCTCCCGACTCCTCAAAAAAGCCGGTTCCTCGAAGTCCGTCCCAAGTTCCACGTCCATCGTAGTAGCAACAGTACAAGCGCCACCCCGTCCGGTGACTACAAACCGCCTCCGGAGGGTATCGTTCTTACTCCGCGGCGCGAGAATCGTCCTCCCAATGACCGCAGCAGCAGACTCTGCTCGGGAGGTCCGCTGACCCCACATCTCAGCGCCGGGGGAATCATCCATCTCACTGTCACTCTCATTACTGTCGGCGCGGTAGTAATCGAGGTCCCCTAAGCCGCGCTTCTTACCCGTGAACGGGAGTGAGGAGGCGGAGTCAGTGGACTCCTGCGAGCTGGCGGGGAGGGAGAATGCGTCGCCTTCGTCGGTGGTGATCAGAGAACCGGACGGGTCTTGGTCATGGTGGTAAGATGGCGGGGGCCCGGAGAGCAGGGCTTTGCTCGATTGGTGGTGAGTCTTGTAGCCCTCGGCGATGGACTTGCGGACGCGCATGCCGACGGAGAGGAGGGAGGCCTGGACCTTCGGGGCGAGGGTCGGGGTCGGGGAGCAGGTGGAGGTGGAGTAGTGGTTGTGGGTGTGGTGGGCGGTTTGCGAGGGGTGGGCAGTTGGGTCGGTGGCTGTAGTGAAGAAGGTGGTGATCGGGGGTTGAAAGCGGCGGCGTTTGGAGTTGGGGTCGGTTGTTGTGGCTGCACTAAGAGTGCGGTGGATCGAGGCCGAGGGTGACATGTTGGGCTTGGACTTTTTGTGTGTTTGGTGGGCGAGAAGGTGGTTTTGTGATAGAGAGGGCCCCTAGGGATGGTGGGGTGTGGGGTAGTTTGGGCGGGCTGAGTTTTGTTGATGTAATTGCTTAGATATAATTTGATGGAGGGGGGTTTCCGAATGGAGTGTTAGAGGCAGCAAAAGAAAGTGAGGCCTACTACGGGGTAGTTGTCCAGTTGGTGTAGCGGGGGGATTGAGAAGAACAAGGAGAGTATGAAAATGAGATGAAGAACAGGAAGAATGATGGAAGACGGCGGCGAAGAGAGAAGAAGTAAATTGGAGGCTGGGGTTTCTTCTTTGGGTCGCATCCCGCGACGCGCTTCCGACGCGCTGCGCCGGAGTCTGGCACGTGTCATATGTCACGTGCTCAGTATCATCCTTGATCTATTCCTTCTGGGACTAGTCTGATCTGGTATACTACTAAGTTATGTACCATAGTCCCAACAATGATGCTATCTACTATATTTACTGTCACTCACCCTTGGTAGAGCTTCTTCTTCTCCTCAAACTTGCCACCTACATGATGCTGCCGTCTATCTATGGTCGGACTAATAATTGCAAACCGAAAACGCTCTAGCTGCGATGTCATTTATTTATCATGAACTTTCATCGGAATAGGATTCCGCGGAACAACCGACTCCTTAAGTCACCATTAAGCATTGGAGTTACTATAAAGCAAAGGTTCTTCCACCTCTCATCCGCGTTTGTCTTTCCATCACTGGCCGGGGCCTCCGAAAGTCGTAACTTTGGAATCACTTGCCTCGATGAACTGCATGTGATGTACTCTGAGAGGCACAGTGGTCCTGTTCGATCGCAGCAATCAAGGTATCAGCCGAAGCTGAGCATCAATCACGAGTACCGTTTTCATCACTGGCATGGGCCTCAGAAAGTCGTAACAAGGAAATCACTTGCTTCGATGATGAACTGCATGCGATGCTGCCTGAGAGGCACGGTGATCCTGTTCAATCGCAGCAAGCAAGATATCAGCCGAAGCTGAGCATCATTCACGAGTAGCGTTTTCATCACTGGCCTGGGCCTCAGAAAGTCGTAACAAGGAAATCACTTGCCTCGATGATGAACTGCATGCGATGCTTCCTGAGAGGCATTTTGACCCTAGGACACGCCAGCTGAAGGAGCATCATCCCCTAGACTGTGGACTGACATGGATCTTCAATCGAAAGAAGACAAATGCCTGCTCTGGTTGCTGCAATATCCCATTCGACTGCTCGAAAACGCAAGGGGACGAGAGAAGATGATGGTGATAAGTACAGAATCGAGGGAGTCACTAGGGAGAGTCAACTTAAATAGCAACGACGTTGTCTAATTCATGATGTTTAAGGAAGTTACTATGGAACAATTACGGCATCGACGCCGCCTGCTCTTGCTCATCTAAGATCGATATATCTCAGGAAGTTACTATGGAACCATAACGGCATCGGCGTCGCTTGCTCTTGCTTAGCTACGGCTAGTCTGTTAGGCTATAAAACGGCATTCAAACCGTAACGAAAGCTCCAGCGTGCTCATCGCACTGTCCAAGTGGACGGTTTAGAAAATCTTATATGATGCTACTACGTGGGCAGGTAGGCATCCTTGGAAAAAGCTGTCGTGAAATGATAGGAAGATCTTGAAAAGCCTATGGTGCATCTACTTCCAACATCACCTTCCTAGGCCTCGAATGTCAAGACGTCATGGGTCTACTCAGGTGTTGACAAGAATACGAGAATGAATTCGCCGTCTATTTCCTTCAAGAATTCCGTTTGACATGCTTTCATCTATGGAATGATGCCGAAACGGCCAGCTACAAGCTGGTGTGCGAAGGTCTGGACGGCTCATGCTGATTAGGGCATCATCTGTAATTTACCTTGCCAGTAAGGTAGGTAGGTTACGTTGCTTCAACACGACCCCTGAGAGTTTTCTCACTTTGGGAAAGCCCTTTCAAGGCTGACAGCGGTTCTTACCTGCTCAGTTCGGCAGCTTCCAACCCTAGCTCAGGGTCTACATAGCGTTGAGGATTAGACCACCGAGATATGGCAGTCACTTAGGTACACTCTACTTACTCCTTACATAGGGCACAGGAGAGACAGCAATGGCCAGTGCAAGATGCGGTTCATCTAATTGCCCTTGTACAAAATTCACATGATCCAGTCATCAAGCAAGGTGCGATAGAGACCACTCTTCCTAGAAACGTACTGCAGTATCTTGAGGTGTTCTTTTCTCCTTTCGGAGCGCTCTACTGTTCTGGCAGTCAATCTCTTCACCTAAATACTACAGGGTGTCACGTACCCTATGTATAATGTACGGCACCATTCGCATAAGCAGAGTAATATATAATTTGCAAGCTTCTCGACAATCTACAATTCAGAAATAAAACAAGGGTATCATCAAGATATACCTCAATTGCCAGTGTTTCCCCTGCGACCACCACGCTTGGCTCGCTCCTGGTGCGCCTTCAAGACCGCCCGCGTTTGCACCAGACTGCGCTTGTTCTTGCTCTTCGCCTTGCCTAGGGTCATGAGGAAGTTCTTCTTACGAGCCTTCTCCTTGTTGGTAGTACTCTTGCCCTGTGCATCCTTCTTCTCCTTGCGCTTGGCGGTCACACTCTTGTGCTCAGCCCGATCCGTCTTGCCCTCCTTGGCATGAGCAATGCGTTCCTCGCGCGTGGCTTTGCCGGCGGACAGAGCTGCCAGACCCTCGATCTCTTCAGCCGTCAGGGGGTCGTCGTGGTGGCGGTTGCTGGCAGATTGACGCCCCTTCACGCCCGCAAGGGCGTTGACAGCTGCTTCGGTGCGTAGCTCCTGCAGCTTCGCCAGATCGGCGGGCGTAAGAATGCGAGTAGCTGCCAGGCTGAGCTTCTGGTCTAATTCCTTCTGCGCCTCGGACTCTTCGGTGGTCGCCTTCGCAGCAGTCTCCGCAGCAGTCTCTTCATCCGACTTGGCCTTCTTCTTCGGACGTTTCGAGTCTTCGTCGTCGTCATCCGAGTCACTTAGCTCAATCTCAGCATCACTTTGCACCTGAATCCAGCCATCAGAGTCATCGCTGTCCTCGTCCTCCTCGACATTCCAGGCATCCCAATTGTCCTCTTCTTCTTCCTCTTCGGCATCTTCCGCATCGGAGGGCAGGCCCTTCTCGGCCCTCTTCTTGCGGCGTTCCTCTTCCTTCCATTGCTCAAGCAGCTCGATGCCCTCGATACCGCCGGCCGCTTGCTCGGCGAAGCGTTTCTCCTTCTTCTCTCCCGACCGCAGGCCCATAGAGGCTTCCTTTCCACGGTCTCTTCTCTTGAGCCATTCAGGGTTGAGTTCACGGAACAGACTGAGCAGACCACGAGCGGCCATGACCACTCCCTTGTCCTTACTCTTTCTGTACATGACAAGATCTTGCAACAGAGTCTCGTTCATCGCAAGGGGTTGACGCGCGCAAATCTCTCTGATAGCATTGAGACCTGCGGATGCGACTTCTGCTGCCGACGCTTCGGAAACGAACTCGTTGGCGATCTTCTGAACCAAGGGCTCAAGGTCATCGGGAGGAACCAGATCGTGAGAGGCCTGCGCAAGGGAAGCCAAGAACGAAGTGACGGAAGGCTGGCGGGGCGTGAGGTATTTTTGGAAATAAGAGTACAGATGCATGATGTGAAGCTTGTGCAAACCGACCAGGCGAGTCACAAGCTGAAGAACCAACAGCTTCTGATCCAGGTTCAATTTGGACTTGGTGCTCTGTAGGTGCTTGGAGAACAGGCTTTCTGCGTACCCCTGGGGATCGTGCAACAGGTGAAGCGCGGAGAAGTTCAGCGGGTGGGGTTGGTTCTTCTTGCGCTCACGGCGCTTAACGGTTGCTCTGGCTTTCTCGACAGCGCGAGCCTTCTTTTTGGTCTTCTTGTTGATGCCGATGATATGCTTTACTCTGCCCATGTCGATGGCCTCTTCATCGCTGCTCTCATCCTCCATCTCTTCACGTTCCTTATCACCACCCAGAAAGAAGCGGATTCCGCCCACAATGACCTTCTCGTTGGTAGCAAGACTAGCCTCCTTCATGACTTCGACAGCCTTGGCATCAGTCCAAATCTGGCGCTTCCACAATTCGCGCGTAAGCTTGATAGCCCACAGACCCTTGGAGGAGGTGCGGTCGGAAGTGACTAGGTTGTAAAGGACGGTCTGCATGGTACGGTTGAGTTTGTGATTCGTAGACTTCGCATTGGAAGATCGCAGGTCCATCAGGATCTTTTGAAACAGTAATGCGCGCAGTGTCTTGCTGGGCGTGGAGATGAGAATAGGGAACAGCGTCTGAAGGAGTCTAGAGTCGCACGGATTAGCGGTAGCGCTTGATTGGCCAACATTTGAAAAGGACCTACGTCGCGGAATCCAAGAGTTCCTTCTTTCTCAAAAGTACCAAGCTTCCAACGATCTTCTCCCGCAACTCCGCCTGCAAGATCAAGTGATGCTGCGACAGGATATCCATCAGTTGCTGAGGAAAGTCCTTTGTAATCTCAGGGTAGCAGTCGGCCACGTGGGCGATGAAATCGATCAGTTCACGGAGCGAGATGATACCCGTGTCAGTGGCCGACGAAGGTGCCGCCATGAAAATCTCGCGGTGACTCTCATATTGGTAGTGCTGAGCGCGAAAATCTTCGATGTAGGACCTGACAGAGGCACCCTGGTTAGCTTACTTCCAGCAGTCGTAGGGATTGTATCGGAAGAGCATGACTTACTTGGGGTCTCTTCTGATCTTGTGCTGAAGATTAGGCCTGAAGAAGAGAGATCACAACGTGTCAGAGGTCGTGATGAAGTTCTCTCTCCGAGTCGGCGGGTAGAATTTTCTCTGTCCGACGGTGAGGAGCACTTACAGATCAGCCTCGACCTTTTCCAAGGCCCCTAACTTCCTCTTCACCATATTCGCGACTGGATGTGGTGAGAATTTAGAGGAGTGATATGGGTTGATAGGGGAGGGAAGGGGGGGGGGGGGGGGT